AAACTAATGATATATTGTATGGTGACTAACATAACATAATAAAATTAAAAAAATAAAATAAAATAAAATAAAAATAAATAAATAAAGATATAAATTTTCAGGTGTAAAAAAAAAAAGTTATAGTAATTAAACCAGTACGGTATTGGCATGAGAATAGACAAGCCAATGGAACAGAACACAATCCAGAAACAGACCCGTATATACGTGGTCACTTGATTTATGATGAACAGTAGGGGAAAAGAAGGTCTTTTTTACTACATGATGCTGGGTCAACTGAATATTCATATGAAAAGTGAATCTTGGCTCCTATGTTATACCATGTATAAAAAATCAGCTCCAGGTGATTTTTAATCTGAAAGATCAAACAATAAAGATTCTAGAATAAAAAACAGCAGAATATCTTCATGAACATATAATAGGCAAATTTTTTTAAACAGGACACTAGAAGTGCTAACCAGAATGGAAAGGATTAATGGACTCTATTAAATTTTGGACTTTGTATTTATCACAGGGCCCCATTAAGAGAGCGAAATGGCAAATCATAGACTGGAGAAGATATCTACAATATATCTAACCAACAATGGACTTGTTTACAGAAATCAAGAATTCCTATACATCAATAAGAAAAGGACAATCTAAAAGACAAATGGGAAAGATATTTCACAAAAGAGTATATTCAAATAGCCAATAAACACGAAAATGTGTTCAAGCTCATTTGGCCTCAGGGAAATGCAAAATTAAAATCATAATTAAATAGTACTGCAAACCCAAATAAATGGTTAAGATTAGGGACTGACAATATTAACTGCTGGCAAGGATGTGGAGTACCTGCAATTTCCAAACTGTGCTGGCAAGAATGTATTGGCGCAACCACTTTGTAAAAATATTTGACACCAGCTCCTAAATACAAGACCATTCAATTGCCCAGAAATTTCCCTCTTCGGTCTGTACCCTACAGAAATGCACACACAGATCCACCAAATCACATGCAAGAATGTTCCTAGCAGCACCATTGCTGAGAGGGCAAGACTGAAAGCAACCAATATTAAAATGGACAGATAAATTGTGGCATCTTCATAAAATTGAGTAATATGCAGTACTGAGAATAAGCAAAAAATCAAACCATGATTCGAATGAATCTCACAAACATAATGTTAGCAAAAAGAGTCAGACATACAAGGATACATATTGTGTGATTTCAATTATAAAGTGATCAAAACAGGGCAAAGCAACTAACAGTGACAGAAATCAGAAGAGTGACTGTCCTGGCAGGAGGTGGTAATTGGACAGCAGAGCTGGGCTTCCACTCAGATTCTATTTCTTGACCCAAATGGTGATTAAATGAGGGTAAATCTCTTGAACTCGTCTAAAACTATGACTTAAAAAATAAAACAACCTAGCAGGTGTACATGATAGCCATGATATATCAGCAACTAGAGGAAAAAAGTCAATTGTAATTCACCAAATATGATTCTATACTGGTAACAAAACAAAAAGGTGAATTATTATATCCAAAATAAATCTGTGAGGGATTTATTAACAATGTTTACCTTTTTCATGTTTATCTCTTGTGTTATTTTTTGCTTTACGAAATTTTTGGATTTGTAAAAAAGTGAGCCTTAGTTACACATTTGAGAGAAACAGTAAACAGTTAAAAGTTTTTTAGCTGAATATTCCACAAAACAAAGATATCCTGTGGGGTAGGGCACTGTGGTGGCCTTGACATTGACATGTGTGTGTGGTACCCAGTAGCTGAGTGTTAGCTGCTCTGGTTCTGCGCTCTCTTAGTGGGCCAAAGGGCAGATCATTAAGACGAGCAGGTCCTTTATACTCAAAGGAAATTAGCTTCACTCAAACTGTACTCAAAGGAAGAGATTTTGTGCAGTTCTCTGTGGAACATTCACTGAGCAAAGGTAAAAACCTGAAAGGCCACCACACAGATGCCCAACTCAAGTCCAGAGAAGGGATGTGGTGCAGCAGATATGGCAACAATATCTTCATGCATTATTTTCCTTAACAAAAGGCAGAAAAGAGAACTACTATTTGCCATGTCTCATGCATAACACTCAATATGCTTACCTATAAACCTGTAGATTAATAAGACAAACTCTAACTTCTGTCAATTTTACTACCAGACACCCTTTCAGATAATCATGTTTTCCTCAATAAATTTATATAGCTAATTAAAAATTTCTACCATCCAATCTTACTTTTATACATTATTATGGTAAAGGAAAGAATGTAGTATCTCTAAGAAGTATCCTTGAAAATTATGGGTAGATTTTTTATTTTATCTCTGCCAAGAATAGCTATTGTGAATAAAATGATTTAGAAAACAAAGATAAAAGTAAAAATTGAAAACATGCCCAAGATATGAAAAACACAGGCTGCATACACATGTGTACACATGTACACACAATCTTTAACATTTCCCCTCATAGGAGAAATGGAGGACACATTTTAGCCCATTTCCCTTTTAAAAAAAGTATTCCTGATGAATTAAGAAGGTGTTTATTTAGATCTATACCCAGAACAACAACAAGAGTAGGAACTTGGAATTTATGCTCAGATTTATAGCCTTACAAAAAATAAAAGGAAAATACTAAATAATCGTTTAATGTCATGATCACACCCTGAACTCTCCCTTTCCTGCCGTGACTTTCATTCAGAGCAACTTCCTCTTTTTTTTCTATAAAGTAACGTTCCTCTCTTTTGTTCTCTGGATTTGCCTGTGCTTTTACGGGAGATTGCTTGTCCGTAATTGCAATTCTTTGCTATTCCCAAATAAACTCATTTTGCTGGTAAAATAACTGGCTGTTTTATTTTTAAGGTCAACATTAAACCTTTTTAAAGTGATGCAGGAAAGAATAAGTACACAGTGAACAAGTTAGAAGAGATTTCATCTTTCACATTATGCAAATGCATTTTGCTAGTGATATTTTCTATTTTTATCAGGATGATCCTCATTACTACTTTTACTATATGAATTACAAAATTGACTGTGTATCTGCTTTAACAGGAATATATACATAATTACTCTGTGGAGATATTTTCAAAAGTGTCAAAATATGAATTAAAACACTGACACTTTTTAAGGGCTCCTTATACGGCTCCAAAACACATGTTGTTTACAGAACGAAGGCTTGGTAAAATGGATCAGAACATTCGTATGGAGCAGTTTCTAAAATATCAGTCATTTATTTTATTTAAAGCAATGTTCAGATCTGATGATATTACCCAGAAATGCTTCTGGTTAGGGAGAAACATGTAGATGCACAATGAAACCAAAGTAACTTAACTGCCTTCCATTTTCTGAGGAAAAGATTCCTCCTCCCTTCGTGGCTGAGATGAAATCAAGAGCCGTTCCAGCCGCAAGCTGAGCTTGGTCTCTGCCTGAGGTGAACAGGTTAGCTTTGCTCAGAGATGTCATAGCTCTTTTTGGTCAATGGCTGCCAAGCACACTCTTTTTCTCTTAAGAAAAGTCTAATGGGTAATGGGTAGATGGAGATGAGTGCAGTGCTACCAAGTTGTGCTAATTTGCTGTGCTTTTGGCCAAGGCAGCAGAAAACTCACTAATTTTCTTTTCCTCTGGAAGAGGAACAGGGCTCCTGTCGTGTTCTGGGAGATACAAACATGCAGAACTACTATAGCTGAAGACATAGGACGCTAATTACAAGTTACCAATGTTTCATCTGATCAAATAAAAATTATTGCACTAAATGAACACAACTAAGGGGAAACTTATTCCTTAGCTTGCTACAATATAACCTCAAAATTATAGATGAAATTCTGTATATATCGAAACTCAACTGGAAAGAAACAGAATTAAATGAAAGCATGCAATTCTTTTTCCTACACTCCAATAATCCTTCAGCTTTTAGTTTTAAGTTTAAACAAAACTTTTCCCCTAACAACCTTCTTGGCTGTCTTAATAATGAGGTACATTTCCCAGTCCCTCAATATATAAAAATGCCATGAGACGCTCCCCGTTTCCCTCCTTCATGCCCTCTGTGGATGACAGAGAGATTCCACCACTGAGACCTTTACTTGGATAGGTTTTGATTTGTCTTATAATGAATGAGGATCACAGAAATTAGAGTCTAGTCCTTTCACTTTAAAAATGAAAAAATCAAGGTTGGAGTGGAGAAGTAATGGAACGTACTTGTCTGTAAGGTTGGGACTAGACCACAAATCCCCTCCTGGAATGATAAAACCAACCCAGCAAACAAGACATTCTTCACAACAAAAAGCATAGTCTGTGTTTTTGCTAGTGTTTTTGTTTTTTACCTCTGAAGAGATTATCCAAGTCAATATCTTCTTTTCCTTTGATTTTCAAACACTTTGCCTGCTGTACAAGTCTGGGCAAAGAACAGAAATAAAATCTAGATTCATTATCCGGTGAGGTAGGAATCAATCATGACAGCAGCACAAATTTAAATAGAAACCACAGGGTAAACAGTAATTGACAGGTATTTTGCTGCACCAAGGCTTGTTACAGTTTTTCTTCAGTTTAAGATTTTTAAAATATATTTTCTGTCAGAAACTCTAACTTTGAAACCTGCAACTTGAAAGCTCTCCCCACACCAGCCCCCATTCATTCTGTTACAGCAGAAAGTTTCTAGAACTCTCTGGGGAATAATCTCTTCAGGTTCTGAGGAGGAGCTATCAGGGATGATAAGGGATGGTATGGTAGTAAGTGGGTAAATAGTAATTGCTACTGATGATTTTAGCTTTTATTTTAATCAGAAGATTATAGACATTGTGCTTAAACAACCGTATAAAGTAATTTAGTTACACAGTTGAATGTCAGAGAATTAATTAACTTTTAAAATGCTCCTGTTTGCAGTAAGGACTAATTTTGTAACTCTTCCATCATGCAACTTTATTAAAACTTGAGGCTCATGGTTTGTAATGAATATGGAAGTTTCTAAAATGAAAATTTTCCAGTGTTGCTAATTACCTAGTGATTAATTTTAAGTAGAGAGACCTTGAGATAGTTGATTAATTTATCCATATATATTTACGATTTTCATGAAAATTATAATAGCTTGCTTTGCAAATGCATGTTCCTATTGCACTTGTACAGTAGCCCTCTCCTTTTAGCCTCACTGACAAACTTTCGAGTCTGTTTCAATTTCTGTTTTAGATGAGGATCCCGATTCAGTCACCAAAACCTTACACAGGAACCTAAATGACTCGTACATAATTGGAGGTCGTTTTACCTATAAATTCTATAAATATATATGTCATGGTAAAAACATATTCTATCAGTTAGATATATATATTTTTTACCATTAGACATTTTTTTAAAGATTTTATTTATTTATTTGGCAGAGAGAGAGTAAAAGCAGGGGGAGCAGCAGAGGGAGAGGTAGAAGCAGGGAGCCCGATGCGGGGCTCAATCCCAGGACCCTGGGATCATGACCTGAGCCGAAGGCAGACACTTAACCGACTGAGTCACCCAGGCACCCCCCATTAGACATTTTTAAATAAAAAATGCAAGAAATGGAGAAAGAATTTCTTTTGAAATCCTACCTTGGACCTTAAAAGAAAGCCCTACATAGCTACTATGGAACATCCTAGCTAGGGGTAGTGAAGCTGAAGTGTAGTGTGGAGACCAGCACCCTCAGCAGAGAAAACCTGCATCCAGGCTCTAGGCTTGTACCCCAGAGCTCATTTCTAAACTCTATATGTAGGTCTCAACTTCCCAACATGCAAAAGGAAGCTGGACTTGCTTTACAGGGTTTGTTCTGAACAGTTAGTGAAACTCTGTACTATAAAATAGTTTACAAACTTTTATTCAGCACAGACGTGCATAAAAATGTGAGGAATATTTTCATTAATTCAATATGCTTAATTTTCATTATACTCTGGATATATACAGATCATCAGGATTTGTTTACGTCCTTGTAGGAAAGAATATTAGCAATAGAAAGAGGGCTTGGATTTAAGCAGTGAGCAGCTGGTGGAGAGAGCTGGTCAACGTGGAATGCCAGAGGCACAACGTGTGCACTCAATAGCACAGTGTCGTCATTTTGCAAAGAAGATGGAAAAAAGAACAATTTTAGTCTGCTTATATATTTTTGCAAATGTGTGCTTGGGTATATTCTCCAAAACTTTACAAATTTGATGAAACTGAGTTGATTTTCAAACCATCTTAAAGCATCCCTCTACAATTGATCCTGATGAAGATCTTGATTCTGTCTTAAAAATTTGAAAAATAGACGCTAGTATGCCTTATATAACTTTGATGGGGATTTTAAAAAGCAATTTAAAAATAAATCAAATAATTTTACTGAGTAGCTTTAAAATAAAATTCCAGGCACTGCCATTAACCACAGACATATTTCAGTACAGTCTTGCTTTCTAAATGATTACATCACTAGGGTCACCCTGTAATCAGTTCAGGCTCAGTAACATTTCCTGAGTGAGACAGGTATCTTCTAAGGACTTCTGGACTCCTCACTTTCTTCACCCTCATTTCATTATCACAAAAACTCTATAAGGTAGAGGCATAGGACCCTTGATATAAATAAAGAAACTGAGGCTCAGAGATATTAAATCATTTGCCCATCTTGGGCACACAGTGAGTCAATGGTGAAGCCAGAACACAAACTCCAGTCTGCAGACTCCAAATCCAGGTTTCCCCTTCTCTGAGCATCATTGTCCAATGCCTGCTGAGCACTCACAGAAGGCATCAAGAAGGAGAAGTCACTGGCACAGCAAAAGAAAGGGAGAGTCAATAATGCTCCTGGCAGCTGGAGGGAGAGATGGCCTGGAGCTAGGCTAGTGGGGAACTCTGTGGAGGATGCAACTGGGTCTGGTCCTAAAAGAAGGGAGATGACAGGCTTGTAAAGTTCTAGAAAATTAAGGTGGGGGAAAAGCAGGAACTGCAGCAGACTGGGCATAAGCACAATGAGAGGGAGGGTGTTCGGCGGACACGGAGAAGCTAATCAACCTACTGGGCTGAAGCACCTGCACTGTGTAGGGAAAGGAGGATCGGAGGTGAGGCTAAAAGAACAAGCTAGAGCCAAGTCGTGGAGAGCCTTGCATGCTGTTCTCAAGCGTTTGGACTTCCTCTTGGTGACAGAGAAGACAGTGACTGAAGTGTTGCATCTTGAAAAGAGTCTACTGCATACAGGGAGCAGAAATGTTTGGTGATGATTAGGCCAGTAATGTGCCAAAGATTATTTGTTTGTATTTTAGCTAAAAAGGTAATACCACTGAAATCTCTAGGCATTATTCTTTCACCAGTAATTGTGCTTGAAGCCTGGCCCATACTTTTCATCATAGTTCCAGGCTCTCCAAACAATCTTCCAAATCCTTTGCTAATGCGATTGCTGGTGCAGCCCCAAGTGTCAGGCTACCCGTGTGTCTGTGTACCCCTGACTCACCCACACAGGAGTGCATGACTTAGAGAATTACTGCTTCTGTTGCGGAGACTGGCCGCTGTCATCGAGAGTCTCTGCTACCCACATTGGTTTTCCACTTGCCTTGTCCTTTGGATTTTGTTACTTCCTGTTGACAAAAGGGGCTGCATGCTCTCTGACTCCCTTTCTGTGCTTCTGCTACATTTAAAATGGCAGGTTAGTGGCTACTCTTTCTGGGCTTGGTAAATGCTAGGCCCTGAACTAGATGCCTAACATGAAGGAGGTAATATTAATCTTATATCTATGTGTTGAAAAGTATAAAGAGGCTAAATAAGTCACACAATAAGCTGAAGAGCCAAAGTGGGAAAAAATCAGAATTTGGAGTTAAGTCAGGTTAGTCTAAATGTAGTCAAACTCCTAGAACGGGAGTTGCAAACGGCAGCCCATGAGTCAAATCCTGCCCATTGCCTGCTTCTGTGAATGAAACTGTAGTAAGCCATGTTCATGCATTACTTATAGTCCATGGCTGCTTTCACACACACACAGTGGTCAAGCTGAGGAACTATAGTAGAGATCTTAAGGCTGGCAAAGCCTAAAATATTTACTGTCTGGCCCTTTAGAAAAAAAGTCTGCTGACTCCTGTTCTAGCAGTAAAGGAAGAGGTTCCTAAGGCCAAAAATATACCTATGACATGTGATGGTTTTACATACTACCTTTTCTCAAAATTGCCTTAATAACTGTAGTTAGTTATCACTTAGAATAGGGCTTCAAAGGCAAATATTGAGCTCTGAATGTTTTTTATTTTTTTAGACAAATTGCCCAGGTCCAATCAGTATTTCCTTAAGCTTTTCCTACATGCAGGTATTACAGTCAGCCAAAATGGTATCCGCCACCGAGAGACTCAGAACCTACCAGAGGATACAGATGTGTAAAGTGCCAACTTTCACACAAAGCAGATGGAGGAAAGCCCTACACGAAGAGATGAGAAAGTGCTTTGGGATCACAAAGTGGGAAGGGACTTTCTGCTTAAAATGTCAGTGAGATCAGAAAAAACTTTCAGGAGGAGAGGAGTTTGTCTAGGCCTCAAAGCAAGTTTTACTAAGGGAAGCATCAAGGGGGACAGGTGTGGTGTGTGATGAGGTGAAGTGTGCAGGCTGGGGATATATTATGAGGACTGCAAAGGCTTTCTGCACATGTATGTATGTATTCTGTGTGTGTGTGTGTGTGTGTGTACACTTGTGTGTATGTGTGTTTGTATGTGTGAATTTAGTGGATAGTAAAGCAAAATAAGTCAAGAACCCCTAAGACTATATATCTAAGGACAGATTCATACAGTATATATTTAGTTTGTAAATAAAATGTAATTCAACTTTTAAAAATATTGCATTATAAACCATCAATAAATGACATACATATGGAAATGTTTACTTCAGCATTATTTAAAGAGGAAAAATACTGGAAACAACCTGACTGTCGACAGGGGAGTTAGCTGAATAAGTTAAGGTATGTCCATTCTATGATAAATGATATAGTTATTTAAAACAATGCACTGGACCCATTTGTGTTAATACGGGAAATTACCCATGACATATTGTTAAATAAATAAAACACATTTTTAAGCTAATATCTCTTATTGTCAGACTTTAAACCAGCAAACAATGGTTTTACATGGCAGTCCGTAAGAGATAAGGGAAATTTGTTTTTTCTTTGTGAGTAGACTTAGTTGTGTAAGTCTTTACAAGTTTTCCACATAAAAAGAAAAGTCCAAGACCAGATTATGTTTCTTCTAGCCACAAGTGCTGACTTCTTTATAGGTGCCTTGTTCAGAGCGCCATTATAAACTTGGCATAAAAATAAGTGTGCATTTTATTAAAGCTTCAGCATTTAATGTCAGGGTCCTTTAAATTTCGCTGACATGTTAACCTGTCAGGAATGCAGCCTCTTTCCCCTACAGTCAACATGACTGTATCCTAATCTATCCAGAGTGA